CAGCACAGCGGGCACCGCGGGCACCGCTGCTCCCGCACGCCCCGAGGCTCGGGTCCGCACCCCGTGAGCCCCGGGCGGGGTCCGCACCGTGCCGGGAACCGAGTCAGGGCGGTGCCACCGGGACTCACGCTGTGTCCTGTGCCACGAGCTGAGCCGCGTACACGCACAACCTCTGCCCAGCCCGTGAGCTGGACTCGGAAGGAGGCTTTGAGTTCATTGCCTTCAAGCAGCGCAGCCTTTTAATAGTGATCAGACTCCAGCCATCAGTGATACACAGTGCAAGGTCCTCATACATTTGTAGCCAAACTGTTTGTTGAAGCTCGCAGCTTTCCACTTTAATAACATTAGTGCATTAAACTGTTGCTTTTCTTTGAAACTGTACAAATACCGTCAAGATATTTTTTGTTATAAAAAGATACAAAAATACTGAATTTCAGCAAACACACACATATTTGTATGACAAGCAGCACCAGTACTGGGAATATAATAGTCCCTGTTTCAGCAGCATCCAGGTGTCAAAAGACTTGGGAAATTTCCTATTTTTTTTTCCATTATGAATGAAGATGCAACCAAACTGAGAGACATTAGAGACAGATAAAAAGCACAGTCTGCTTTACAGGGTTTCATAATGCCCCGTTTTCCTGTGCACTACATTTACTTAAACATACATGTGCCTGAGTGTGATAAAAATGGGATTCAAGCAGCTTCCTGTCCACAAACGGAAAATAATTTGTTCCATAAACCTACTTTCTTTTTTACTTTTCATCAAAGCTGTTTGCAGCACTCAACCGTGCAGGTGAGGGACTCTTTGGGTGAGCCATCTGTCAAAAAAAGGGAAAGGTCAGAACTTGGATATCTGAACTCATTATCACTGAGATAAGACAGTGCAATTCTTAGCTGACACCTTAAAACAGACACAACAAATCAGTGAAATAAAAGATGCTATTAACCCTCACATTTTGTTCTTCTGCAAAGTGGAACTGTGACATTCAAAGTTGCATTGAGGCACCTGATTGACCACCAAGAAAGCAATTTTTCCTCTTGGGATTGTCAAATAACCTGTGATGCAATGTCCATTCTGCAGTGCCCTCAAATCAGTAGGGAATTCTGTGGATTTTAAAGCCACCTTATGATTCCAAGAGGGAGGACAGAGTGACTTGCCTGAAATTTGCGCCGCAGTGCCCGTGTCATTATTGGTGTCAGCCCAGAGCCACATTCAGTGTTCTCTTTATTATTTAAAGGAGTGCCACCAGGACTTCTGAAAGGACAATTATAATTAGTTTGATTGGTTCTCTATTTTTTCTAGATTAAAAAAAACTACAATTCAAAAGAATAGAAAGAACAGACCTTAGTATATCAACTTTCTTCAGGTGTTTCCGAAGATCAATCTGATTTTTAGGGGAGGTACTAAGAGAACAAAAGAAATTGGTACAGTAAAAACCATTAACTACTGTTTAAAACAGAAAAATCTAATATCTAATCAAGGAAGAAAGCATCTTACATTGAAGATTTTGTAGCATGAGGTGATGGCTTGGATTTAGGTTTCAGACTAACACTCTGTAGATCTGTGACTGTAATTAATGCCCTTCGTGGCTTTACTGGTGATTGTTCCTACAGCAAAGAAAGAAATGTTACCCCAAATAAAACTTCAGAAGATCTTACTACCCTGAAATCCATTTAATATTAACACTGAAAATTTTTGTGGTTTATGGCTCTTATGCTTTTTTTTGAATTAAGATTTGAATGTGCCTCAGATAAAAATAGATCAAGGAAAAAACAACAAAAAAAATCTAAACAAGGATTTTTTTTTTTCTACAAACAAAGGCCTGGCTGGCCAAAATGAAGTCCAAAAATCTACTGATAATACAAAATGCTATATGAAAGTTCCATGGCCTTAATGTAAAATAAGAACTGTTCTGGAGGCCAGGTGAGATTGGAGTTTGTGACTTTATTTCTCCCCTTCCAAAACCCAGGTGCAGAATTAGAATGGTCACTTGAAACTGATCACTGGGTGTTTGGATGAGAATCAATTTATTGTAAAAAAAGCAGGAAATACAGCAGTTCCAGGGTGGATTTTCCCTTGATTCACCACCACCTATTCATCCTCCAGTTTACCTTGTCCATTCTCAGGTTGCTGTTTGTCTTCTTCAGTTTAACATTCAGGAGGTCTTTGAGGGTGATGTGCACGGGCCCATCCTTTTTCACTGGTGGTGCCTGAAAACAAAGGGGTTTGGAAGGGAAATGAGGAAGGGAAAGTGACTGAGCACTCACAGAGTGACGTGCTGATGAATCCAGGTCTGTAAAGAACTCAGGCATGAAATAAAAAATAGAGGAACCTTCTGATTCCCTACCAGTTTAGAGGCTGTGCCCCGTTGGAGGAGGAGAGGTGCTGGAGGCAGTTTTGGTGGAGGCAGCGGCGGTGGTGGAGGAGGAGGAAGAGGAGGAGGAGGGGGGATGTACACAGGCACGGATAGTGATGGTGGAGGATCCATCTGTGTCCCCACAGGAGCAGCCAGGACTGGCTTATGACACCTTTGGCAAAGAGAACTTTCTGAAGACAAAGCTGCCACTCTGTTCATCTGAAAGTGACATAAATAAATAGAACATTAAATCCACTGGCAAAAGTTAGGTGGGATTTTAGAGTACAAAGGTGCTGGCTAAGATTGAGCTACAAAGATATAAAGAGGTCCCTCCTGGCGTGAGGTAGCAGCAGAGAATGCCCTTGAGGAGCTGTTCAGATCTCAGTGGATCTGCATTGAACACAGTTCCTTATTCTCACACAGGCAAATGTTACTCTGCCCCAGCTTGACTGAGACTGACCTGGAGTTCTTCTTGTAGCTTGAAAAATTCACTTTCCAACTTCTCCAGCTTCTCCCTGAGCATATTTAGTTCCCTTAAGTAGACTTGTGATGGAAATATGGTGTCTTTAACCACCTGAAAGCTCTAAGCATAAAAAGAAAGCAGATAATGTGCATTTGTGTGTTGACTGTCTTCAGATGTTTCCAAAGATCAATCTGATTTTTAGAAGGGATACTAATAGAACGAAAGAAATTGGTACAATAAAAAATTTCCCAGTCAGTAAACAGAGTTAATCCCTGTTTTGAACAGAAAAATCCAATATTAAAGAAGGGATATACCTGTGCAACCGTGCTCTGGCACCACCAATACAGAAATGATGCTGCTGTTGTCAAGGGTTTGACCACACTTTTTATGCTGGGCAAGGCTAAAGGCCAGCGGGAGCACCTTGGGACTGGTGATGTGTCCAGAGGGAGATGAACTGGTGAGCTGGAACAGAACATTTCAGAATGAGGCCAGAATTTTATTTAGCATCTCAGCCTTTAAAAAAGTTAACTGTGACCAATCATGTGGAAATTACAAGCAGGTACCAGCAGGTAACAGCAGAGCAAATGTGATCATAGAAACCTGGGAAGGCCAAGATACTTTTCAATAAAGGTGGGAGGAAATCCTATTGGAAATGGATTTATTTAATCATAAAAACATTAAGGTTGGAAATAATCTCCAAGGTGATCATGTCCAACCTTCCACTGAATAGCACCAAAAGATATCGTGATGTGCCACATCTACCTGGCATAAATCTTTCCTTCTTTTCCATGAGCCACTGGGAGCAAACAGCAAACCCAGGGATGGAGTGAGAATGCAAAATTCAAGCTGAGCCTCTTACCGTGGAGAGGGACAGACTGAGGACCGGGGGGCTGCAGCATTGCTCTTATTTTCCAGTCGAAATTTTGCTCGGGATCTTCGTTTTCGTTTGCATTTCTTATACCTTGCCATTACTGGTGAGAAAGACAAATTTAAAATGGATGTAGAGAGAGACAAACCAAATTATACATCGGGACAGAGCTGCCACCAAAGAAAATAACATAGGCTGTAGCTCAGAAATCCAGTCAGAGGTTACTCACAGCTGCCTTGGTAAAATTATCATGGACCAGTGAGAGAAAATATATCTTTAATTTCATAGGATCCATGGGGATGTGTTTGTGCACAGAAAGCACCATTTAATAGGGGCTTTCCCCCCCTTTTCTATTTATATCATAGAGAGATAAAATTAATAAATAGCTATTATAATAAAAATATGAAAGAATTAAATAAATACGCATGAAAAGTACATTATAAATATCATAAACAAATATAACCAAACCAGAAAACATTTAGAAATATTATAAACTAAATAGAAACGTTACAACTATCGATACGTAAGCACAATAAATATAACCGGATGTTCAGTTATTCGTTATTCTGACGTGACAAGTACTGAATTTGGGGAAAACGACGCTTGGTGAGAACGGTGACAAAAGACACGAAGAAGCCACGGAAGGATGCCGGGGGCGGCCCGGGCCGGTCCCTCACCGGGAGTCCGTGACACCCCAGCCCCGCTCACCCGGGACCCCGCACAGAGGGCGGGGACTCCTCTCTCTCTCACACACACACACACCTGCACACACCTGTGGGGGTGTTCCGGGATGTCCCGAGGGTGTCCCGGGTCAGCCCCGTTCCCCCGGCCGCGCTCCGCGCCCGCCGCCGCCGCCGATTCAAACCGCTCCCCGCTCCGCATCCAGCCAATGGCAGCGCCTCTCTCTGCCGGCCCCCCACGCGGCACATGTAAGCCGCGCGCTGATTGGCAGTTGCTCCCAGGCGCACTCGCGCTCCACGGGAGAGGGGCCG